CCCGCGCCAGGGCCTCGGCGCCCGCGCCCGCGCCTGCACAAGGCCCCATGGCTCCGAGGGGCCGCCTACATCTCGGGCGGCCTCACTCCTCCCAGCGGGTATGGGAGACTGTAATGCTCGGCGCCACTGCGGCGCGCCGCGCCGCCAGGCGGCGGCGCCAGATCGCCGCCGAGGCGGCGGCGGCGCAGCACCCGCGCAGCACCGTCGCCAGCACCTACATCGATCCACCACCAGCAGCGACATCGGCACCAACAGCAGCATCCATCACATCATCGTGAAGGTTCCAACCCCGGCTCCTGCTCCGCCGCCAGGGTGCTGGACAACCGCAGTACCTGCTCGCGGAGACCTGGGCCGGCCCAACTGGCAGAAGCGGCTGCGGAGGCCGTCCGGGCCGCTGCCGAGCGCCAGGGCGGTAAGAAAGCAGCAGGGCGAGCCGCTGCCGCCCCAGCGATGGCGATCGCTGCCTGCAGCGCCAAGGCCGAGGGCGGGCGCAATGGCCAAGCCGACCAGGCGGCTGCGCCCCCTGCTGTGGATGACGCCGGACAGCCCGAGACAGCACAGGCACCCGAGGCACTTGAGACAGCACAACCACTTTTACCAGCGCAGCGTCTCCCGCTTGCTGACAAGTCGTCCTGTACGGGGGGGGACGCACGCGCGCCAGCACAGCAACCCCCGCTTGCTGATAAGACGCTCTGTAGGGGGGGGGGGGGCACCTGGACCTGGCACTGGAGCCGGGGCCGGGCCGGCAGCGGATGCCAGGCCGCCGAAGGAGGCCATCGAGGAGGCCATCATTGTTCGCAAACTAGCGCCGGTCGTAGACGCCAAGGCCCTGCACGCGACCCTGAACATCTTCGGGGCCATCAGGTACTGTGCCGCCGCCGACCTGCAGTGGAACTCTATGTGTTGGTTGTTACGGTTGCGTGCACGTTGAAGCCGCCGAGGCTGCGAGAAGAGCCACTGATAGAGCGAGCCACGTGCGAGGCCTACTGATTGGAAGCAGGAAGGCAGCCATCACTCTAGTCAACTCGGCCGACGCCAACTGCGAGCGCTACTTCACCCCCGAGAACGCCGCTGCATACATCAGGGCCACCACCAATGTTGTGTAATGCTTCTACTGCAGCGACGTCGCGCGCGACCACGCCAAGGATGACGGGGTGGAGGAGGACCTGGAGGCGACGAACGTGCGGGAGAAAGAGGCCCTCCACAGCACCAACAAAAAGGTGCGCTTCGCCGACTGAGGAGCGCGTAGGCGCCGCACCCAGCGCGACACCCGCCGCACAAAGGACCAGCCAGATTGGGGGGGACTTGAGAGTTTCACGAGGAATTCAAAAGGAGGCTACAAAATGTGAAAGGGATGTACTTTCAACTCGCTGCCAGGCTCCCCAGGGCTTGCCGAACCTGGGAGCAGCCTTGTGTTGTTTAGCGCCTTGAACCTAAACAGCTCCGGATGCCGCGCTCGGGACGTCGGCTCACCTGTTGTCCGTTTCACGTCTGTCGGCTTCCAAGACGTGTGAATATACACATTCCTGTAGCTTTGTATCTTGCTAGCTGCCTCCAGCTTCTTTCGCTGTAAAGCTGGGCCATGCGGCCACCGCCTACACCAACCTACCCCCGTTGATCCCTTCGCATTTTTTCGCCTTGTTCATCCCGCCTCTCCCTCTGTCCCGTCTTGTCCCCCTCGCCCCTCTCCTCGGCCCCCCCCCCCTCTCATGAGGAGCGCGAAGGCGCCGCACCCAGCGCGACAGCCGACCTGCCGAACCGCTTCTACGCCAGGCCCCCGAGCACCGTGGCCACCAGCGGCCAACATGAGGGTGGGGAGGACACCGTACGGGAACGCAACATCCGATATGCACTGGTACTTTCAAGGAGCCCGGGCTCCCCGATGACCCCTCCAGCGCCCTCTCCCCCCCCCAGATGTCACGCCACGAAAACATCTGGGCCTGCCAGGTCGGTACACTGGTCAGCAGGGGCTGATCGGGTACGCCTTCGCTTTTTTCCCGCCACCTTGGGGAGGGAGCGCCAGGGGGGTCATCAGAGTGCTAGGACTCCCGCTCTCCTGCTCTTCCCCTCCTTGTCGTGCCTGCTGCCCCCCTCTCCTCCTCGCCTCCTCCTCCTCCTCCTCCTCCTCCTCCTCCTCCTCCTCCTCCTCCTCCTCCTCCTCCTCCTCCTCCCCCTCCTCTGCTGGTGTCCTCGTGTGGTCCCCTTCCTCGTTCTCCCTCTCCTCCTGGGGTAGCCCCAACCTTTCGGTTAGTGGCGCCACCTTGACACACCAGCCCTGCGGAGCAGGGCTGGGTTGGCCACGCCTGTCCCGCCGTCAGGAATCAGGAATCAGGAATGAGGAGGAGAAGGAGGTGCAGGAGATGGAGGAGGAGGAGGAGGAGGAGGAGGAGGAGGAGGAGGAGATGGAGGAGGAGGAGGACGAGAAGGAGAAGGAGGAGGAGGAGGAGGAGGAGGAGGAGGAGGAGGAGGAGGAGCAGGAGAAGCGATCGGGGAAAAGGAG